AATATGGCTACCCACAATTTGTCTACTCTTAGCCAAAACAAGAATGAAGGACATTTCTTTTAGTATGGAAAACATTGCCTTCCGCTGATTCAGGGACCCACTAGCCTTAAAGAAAACAAGACTTTAAAGTTATTAAACTTAAAAGGGAGTGTTAAGGCAACAAGAGTTTAAGAACTTTGAAGTTCTTCAACTTCTGTTGCCTTAACACTCCCTTTGCTCCCTTTTCTCTAGATACAGTAGGGCCTCTTAACAAAGCAAAGGCCAGAGTGCACCGTAAAAGGTTGTTTGCATTTATAGTGTGAACTGGAATGTCTCAGGTAATTAGATAAAATCCTGCGCTGACCCAATGAGGCTTTACACTGATAATACTGTGTACCTACTACATTCAGCAAATGTAGGTTAAAGACCTTTGCCTACCACACAGATAGATTCTTTTAATCAAAATTGAACTCCCACATCTTGCTCTTAGAGCTGCTGGAATAAATGTAGGGTTTAATACAGGTAATTTTTCAATAGTGGCATTTATTTTTCATGCACTTGGAATGTGTCTCCTTATCACTACCCATATATACCCACTCTATCTGCACTGTGACATGACAGCAAAGTTTGTTTTAATACACAGAAGGGGGAATGAACAGATCAGTTTCTCTAAAAAAAAAAGTTCTGTTGAGAGATCACTTTTCACATTATTTTATTTGCAAGTAACTCAGGCACATCATTGCTGGGTTTCTCTTGTTCAGGGAAAATGTGATTTCTATCTGATGGCTTTTCACAACATTTTTACCTCACATGGGAAGCCATTGTTGGCTTTTTGATCAAAGTACTGTTGTGTTTTTACAAGAGATGACTGATGAGCTGTACAGACATAGATCACTGTCAAAGGCAGAGGAGAAAATGATGGTAAATGCCTTTATCATTTTCCAAGTTCTTGTTAGAAAGGCTTTCCATTGATCAGTGGAGTAGCTAGAAAAAGCAGGAGTGATTACATTTGATTAGGCTGCTTTAAAACCTGTCACACAAGCTTTAGATATAGTTACCTGTGTGATTTACGTTCTTTAAAATGGGGGGTGGAGCAGATTCATGCATAAGCTTAATGGTGTTTATGTGTAGTTAATACTCTTTTTTTTTCAAAATGCTGAAATGAAATCTTGGCTTTATTATTGAGTCTTTTACATCTCAGTCTGATTGGTGTGTATATTAAGGCTGGTGTGTATGTTGTTGTTGTTTTGCCTGCCTCACAGACACCACCTTAAATCATGTCACATAACAATCCACTTCTGTGTTGCAGTACACTACACAGATCAAGGGACTTTTTTCCTCTCCATTCCTTTCCTATTTTGACCTTTTGGGGTGGCAAAATGCCTAAACTCTGTGCTTTATGGCTGCATTCCAGCTGTATATATTGTCTGTCAAATTAGCTCCATGTTCTTTTGAATCACCATGGCAGGACCTTTGCCATATATACATTGGTGACCTACAACAGCAGGGATTTGGACCCAGTGGCCTTCTTCACCCCTTTCAACTGTACTATTCAATGATTGGACCCACAGAGCTTTTAGGTGCCTGTTTATATCATGACAGTGAAGTTAAGATGGGGCAGTTCTGAAGTCGCCTACCTTAGTATCAAGGCAAGAAACAAGGATCATATGTGGGTCCGGATGGTCTGTGGTTCAGTAGTCTCCGGTTAACTGCCCACTGCAAGAGCAAATTTTATGGACTGAAGAGTATGATCTGGTATACCCTTCATACATCGCAAAGCCTCTATGATTGTCATTACAGCCATGAAGTCCTGATACACTCCAGACAAAGCAGGTTCAGCATGGAAGTTGATGCACCCAAGAAAAATCATTCCCAGTACCAAACCCAAGCCCATTTCTGTTGATTCAAGCAGTGTGACTGATGAGCAGGGGGTGGGGATGGAACACCAGCAGAATGCCCAATCTATTTTGAAAGGCCAGTACATGTTGTAAGCACTTTAAGTTGGCTCCCACTCAGACAGGAGACCTGCAGAGGAAAATAGTACTCCATAGATTGAAGTGAATTCATCTCCCTGACCCTCCATATTGTTCTGATGCTGCAGTAGATACTTGGACAGGTATACCTGGGAGGGACATGATGAGGATAATTCTAGCCCAGGGATGGATTCTGTATAGTGATTTGCTTGGTCAGGAAACTGGGAGCCAGGAACCTGTGCCTCACATCCATTACCCTCTACTCATGGAGGGCAGTTGTCTCCATGAACAGAGCCTCTATCCATGCAGGCTGTCTATATGAGCCAGAGTGCTCATTTTCTAGCATTCTGACATACTTGGTGAGCCTTGCTGGTTAGAAGAGACAGTCACACTCTACAAGTAGCAAGTGGCAGATATGAAAAAGAGAAAGGGCTTGAGTGCTCTATCTCATCTGTGTTTACCCTACTCAGGTACAGAAGTCTGATCAGAGCTTGAAATTAAAAACAGAAGAGCATTAGTCAAGGTAAAGAGCCTGGTCTTGGGACAGAGGCCTCTACAGTGGGGCTATCTCACCCTTTTCTCAAATCTGGAGAATCACTGCTCATGACTGAACAGTTCCTCCTTTCACTTCTTCTGCCACCCTGAATCTACACATCTGTATTTAACATCTTCATTTTTCAGTAGGTATGGGACGAAACCTGCAAAGGCATTAACAATATGACAAGGCAAAACATCTCCAAAACTCTAGTACTTGCAATATGGTATAAACATTTAAGTTTATACAATTATTTACACTAAGTCTGGGAGGGTGGAGCACTTGGGCAAAGTTGAGCAAAAATTGGTTGTTTATCCATTATAAGACTAGGAAACCACCTATCATTTTCTATTCTGCTCATTTGTAACTTTTCCCAGAACATTTATATTTTAAGGCCGCATCAGTTGCCCTTTATTAAGACTTGATACAGTGTGTAATTGTCCGGCCACCAGTTTTATATTGCTTTTATGTTTACATAAACATTATCATTTAGATAGCAGTTATATATATGTAGCCTACTATTATTGTTATATTATTACCAAAATAATCATAATAATTCAGCTCATCTATACAACACTTATAAAAGTATATGGATCTAGAGTGCACCCTAGTGGTAGACCTACTAAAGGCAGTATTAGACAGCCTGTATTGCGTACTTAGGTTAAACTACATAACCAGTATTACAGCCCTGTATGTGTTTACCCTGAAGTAAATCCATTCAGTGGCTTTATTTTCACATAACTCTGCTTAGCATTTCAATCTAAAGGAGCTAATAACTTCATACACCTTTCTCTCACTTACATAGGCAATTCAACTTGTGTAATGCATAGATCTCTGCCACTTCAATATGCATAATCAATGCTCAGTAACACATCTTAGATTATGGAAGTTGCTGCTGTTGACTCCTAGAAACTGTTTGTGTGCTCTACTGGTGAATCAAATAGCAAGCCAAGACGATGTTGCTTATTTCTATATAACATCACTGCATGTGTGCAGTTTGTGCACTGACTGTAGATCTGAACACATGATTAGTATGAATTTTCCCTTACTATATCTGTTGAATGTCTCCATTCTTATCTGTAAGATTTATGCAGAATTTACAAACAGAGGTCCAAGAAATGGAATTCATCCAGTTTTCCAAAGGTCTCAACTGTATGAGAAAAGAGGATTTTATAGAGTGGTTACTGTATTTCACTGAAGAGGAAAATAATGAAATTTACTGGCAAAATATGAGAGAGAGAATTGAAGCAGGAGAGGTTGGTATGATACCCAAGAATACCTTTTTTGAAGCACAGTGGTACCTTGGCTCACAAACGCCTCAGTTCACAACCAAATCGGGTCGTGAACAGAAATTTCTGAAAAATTCTGCCTCCGGTCACAAACTCCACATCAGGTGATGATTATGATCATGCTTGTCTCGCCCCCCACAGTGGGCCCTGTTCACACCCGCCTCCCCCCCCCAGCACGCCCACAATTGTGCCCATCTCTCCCCCGAGCACACCTGCCTCCCTCCCAGAGCACCCGCTTCAAATTCTTGTGATTAAAAAATACATAGTTACAGAATGGATAAACCTTATTTACAGTGAACCTTATGGGAAAATTTGACTTTGCTCACGACCAATTTGGGTCACAACCAAAGTCCTGGAATGGATTAAGTTTGTGAGCCAAGGTACCACTGTATAATTGGAGAGCATTGTTAATATATTACTCTAAGTATAGCAAAAAATACTGCTCATTCAATTTGTCTTTATAATAGTCTAATAAATTATAAAATTATAAATTATTATAATTTTTAAGATTTGTAATAATCTAATGAATCCCTCAAGAAAATGCTTAGTTTTTGCTAACACTTGTTTGTTTGGTATTCCAGAGTATTAGTATGGAGGAATTTAAGACATTCTGCCAGTTTACAAATCGCTTAGAAGATTTTTCAATTGCCTTGAATATGTTTACTGTAGCCAGCCGGCCTGTGAAAAGAGGTAAGAAGTACATATGCCTACATTTTAAGAACGAAGTAGAAAGTATGATGAGCATGGCATATGAAAAATGGTACTGTAAACCCACATCAGGTGCTGTCTCCTTTATGAAAGGATTTTGAACCTGTTAGCACAGGACCTTTCAGCCCTTTACTAGAAGCGAGATCAACATCTCCTGCCAAACAAGAGAGGAGGCACAATTGTTCTTCGTCGTGGCCTCTGTGCATCACACATATGGGTTCCGCGCCTGCGCAGTGCCTTTGGCCGGAAGATTGATAGCTAACGGTTTGAAAGGAAAAACTCCACTCCGCTCCCCCCTAGCAGTATATATGGAGCGGAGTGTCCGCCATTTTCTAGTCTTTGCGACTGCCATTCGTTGTGCCCCGTGCCGCTTCACTCTCTCTTAGATCGTTCCTCGTGCTCTCTTGCTTCGAACTCTTTTTCCAAGTTAGTATCTCTAGTTATATTGCTCTTATTGTTCCAGTTACTCTCTCCATTTTTTCTCGTTCTTCTTGTGCCTATTAACAAAAAAAAAAAAAAATATCTACTCCTGCTATACTATCCTCCTTTTTTTCCTTTTTCTGCGATGGCGCAACGAGCGGTGTTCCGCAAGTGCAGAAAGTGTGGCTCCAAAATGCCCGCTGCAGACCCGCACGACCTGTGCCTCCTCTGTTTAGAGGAGGGTCACAGGACAGACAAATGCGGCCACTGCCTGGCCTTCTCTAAACAGGCCAGGAAGAATAGGGAGAACCACTTATGTAAGCTCCTGTGGGACCAGGCTCTCCTACAATCGGACCAGCTGATGGCTAAGCCTGCTACAACCTCGGCTCCACCTGACCACCGTCCTTCTTCAGCCAATCCGCCGCAATGTCCGGCCCCTTCCTCTGCTACTCCACCCTCATGCCCTTTCGGCGAAGGTGCTCCTGCCATGGGTGATCAGCCTGTTTCCCTGTTTCCAAGAAACAGCGGAAAAAGAGGAAGCACAGCGGCCCTGAGAAGCCGTCTGTGCACAAGAAGGCCAAAAGGGATAAGGCCGAAAAAACAGCTAAAAAACCGAAACCCGAGCATTCGAAACACTGACACTCGGGTTCGGCAGCTTCCTCGGTCCCGACCGCAGTTCCAGTACCGACGCCTTCGGGTCCAGCCATTCAGGCAGCGATGAGAGTTACTCCTCCAGCCTCTCCACACCGTACGGGATCTGAACTGCACCAGGATTCACCTTGCGGTTCAATTTCCGATGGCGAGATTCAAGACTCCCCGCCGAGGGCCCGGTCCCTGACACCTATGCTGCCTGTTCGGCTCAACACTGGAACTGGATTGTCCCCACTGAGAAGCCATAGGAGCCGGTCTTCTGAAGCCCGTTCTGATGACTGGTACCATTCCCGGTACTCTTCCGCACCCAGATGACCTGACTATCCATCCGTCGGATACTACTCGGCTGCTAGAGGCCGATCCTCTCCAGCAGCTCCTCAGGATCAACCTCATTCTACAGCCTCAAGAGAAGCCGGGCGTGCTCCGTCTCGGGAGAGCAGTAGATCGCAGTCGCCAGGGGACTCTTCTTCCAGCTTCCCGCCTCCATATTGGGTGGACTCAGACGAGTCCGAGGTCGATTCGACTTTGCCTGATGCTGCAGTCACCTCGCAAGACCCTGCATCACCGGAAGAGCCGCACATCTCGTTTGTTGGATTGATGTCTAGGCTGGTGAAGTCGCTGGAAATCGAGGCCAGTCAACAACCTGGTCCCAGCACCGATCGTTTCTACGATGTAGTGCAGGGCGAACAATCGACCTCCATCACTTTACCATTCATTACCACTCTTCAGCAAGCGATGACCCAACCATGGGACCTCCCGGCTCAACCTCAACCGACCTCAAGAAGATAGAAAGCTATGTACAGAGTTCGGGAGGGGGACATTCCATTCCTCCTCTGCCACCCCAAACCGAACTCGGTGGTGGTGGAATCTTCTCAAGGCTGGGAGGCACGGGGTCACACAGCGCCCCGTGACAAAGAGGGAAGGAAGATCGACTCCCTCACACGCCAGATCTATGCAGCTTCGGGACTCGGCCTAAGAATCTCTAATTATGAGGCAACCCTGGCGCATTATCAATACTTTATAATGCAGCACCTGGACAACATCATCGCCGCCCTCCCAGATAATCAAGGTGACCTGGTGCAGGTATTCGTAAAGGAGGTAATGCAGGTCGCGGTGCAACAGCTGTCCACAGCTAGACATCATGTGGACACGGACTCGAGGGCTCTCATCGGTGCCATCTCTCTCCAGAGACACGCCTGGTTGCATAACTGCAACTTTCCAGAAGAGATGAAGAGGAGGATTGAGGAGATGCCCTTTGATGGGTCCGGCCTCTTCAACGCAAAGACCGACCACAAGTTGAAGAAGATCCACGAGTCGCGGATGACAGCCCGGTGTATGGAGATGCAACCTCTTCCTCGACGTAAGTGGTCATGGACCCGTCCACAATACTGACAGCAATACCCACCCCACCAACAGCTACAGCATCATCAGCAACGCCTCAAGCAACCGCCCCGGCGATTCCAGCAAGGCCACCGCCGCTCTGACGGAAACAAACGCCAGCACTGATGGGGCAGGCGAACCTTTCCTTTCCTTCCAACCCCACCCTCCCCGCTCTCATCTGGGGACCGGCTGAAAAGCTGACTTCCCATTTGGGAGTCCATTACATCTGATGGGTGGGTGTTATCCATCATCCAGCACGGATATAGAATTGAATTTGACATCGTTCCATCATCGAGTCCTATCCACTTTGCTCCATGCTCGCCAGTATTATTAGACGAGGTTCACCAACTCCTTTCTAAAGGAGCCATTCATTGCTTGTCTTTATCAGAAGGGCTCCACAGATTCTATTCTAGATATTTTACGGTTCCGAAATGAGACGGAGGTCTTTGACCGATATTGGACCCGAGAGCTCTCAATAAATTTATGGAACCGACAGGAGTCCAGGAATCATATCAACTTCCTGGAACTTCTTGCAGTATTCAAAGCACTACAATCATTTGAGGATGTGCTTCGCTGTCGAGTCGTCCAGATAACCTCGGACAACATTGCCACAGTCTTTTACTTGAACAAGCATGGGGGGACGAAGTCACCAACGTTAGCCCGGCTATCGATGCAAATCTGGGAGTGGTGCATACCGAGAGATATTACCCTGATAGCAGTACATCTAGCGGGTACAGACAATGTGGAAGCAGATCTCTTAAGCAGACACATGTCCAAGTCGCATGAATGGGAACTGGACCGTCAGACATGCAACAGGCTGTTCCAGCGATGGAGCCTCCCAGATATAGACCTATTCGCCACCCGACAGAACAGGGTGTGTGAGACTTTTTGCTCGAGAGCGGGAATCGGACGGGGGTCATCCGGGGATGCCTTTATGATCCCTTGGAACGATATGACGTTTTACGCTTTCCCCCCCGATTCCCCTCATCATGAGAGTAATAGCAAAGATAATTCACTACGGGGCCACAGGACTGCTGATAACTCCTTGGTGGCCACACCAGCCATGGTTCTCGACACTTCTTCACATTTCTCGAGAGGAATACCTTTAACTCCCTCCCATTCCTAATCTCATAACTCAGTGGGAGGGCATGATCTGGCACCCGGATCTAGTGTCACTGAAACTGACAGCCTGGTGAATTCGATAGCAGTCAACGTTGGCCCAGTACCAACGCCATCTGCAGTTCCTACTGATCCTATCCCTAGATCCGACACGCCATTCCATGCTGTGAATCCATCTACCTCCTCCACGTCCTCGGATCTGACGAATATTCTGTCAGCTTCGCAAGTTCTTCATCTGGACATCCAATATATTCTCGATTCTGCGCTAAGGCCGTCCACTCAAAAATCGTACGCGGCAAAGTGGCGTAGATTCTCTAGTTTTGCTGAATCTCACTCGTTTTCACCGAACTCTGCATCCATAGATCATATCCTCCAGTTCCTTTTAGAACTCCACCATTCTGGATTTAAATCATCCTCCATAAGAATGTATATGGCAGCAATTTCCTATTACCGCGGTACAGTGCAGGGTTCTTCCATTTTTTCTCAACCATTGGTTAAGAGATTTCTTAAGGGACTCTGCAACCTCCATCCGATGGTCAGACCACTTATGCCTACATGGAGTCTTTCAGTGGTGTTACAGGCACTGACAAGACCTCCTTTCGAACCCTTGGCAACAATTGACTTACGTCTTGTTTCTTGGAAAACTGCTTTCCTTGTAGCAGTTACTTCAGCCCAGAGATCTAGCAAACTGTGTGCCCTCAGGGTAGACCCTCCATTTTTGAACTTTCACAAAGAGAAGGTGGTTCTGCAAATGAATCCATCTTTTCTTCCAAAAGTGTCTATGTCTTTTCACATGGACCAGGAGATTATCTTGCCTGCCTTTTTCCCGTCTCCTTCGAATCCAATTGAGAGATCCCTGCATACTCTCAACGTCCGGCACAGTCTAGCCTTCTATAGATCGAGGACTGAGTCTATTCGACATTCCAATAGGCTCTTCGTTAAATACTCGGAACAAAATCAAGGTTTCCCAGTTACTCCTCAGAGACTGTCCAAATGGATAGTTCACACTATTAATCTGTCCTATCAGTTGGCCAAGATAGACTTACCTACCGTTCCCCGGGGTCATTCTACTAGAGCTGTAGCTGCTTCCTCAGCTTTTGCGTCGGGAGTTCCGATTGAGGATGTCTGCAGAGCTGCCACCTGGGCTACTCCATGTACTTTCACTAGACTGGATGTTTGTGCTAGACAGGATGTTCTGCTCCTTTTGCAGAGCTGTTCTTTCAACTATTCTTTGTTGATGACACCTCCCTCCACCATTTCGGGTAAGCTTGTTATTCTACCCATATGTGTGATGCACAGAGGCCACAACGAAGAAAAGCAGGTTGCTTACCTGTAACTGATGTTCTTCGAGTGGCCATCTGTGCAGTCACACAACCCACCCGCCAGCCCCACTTGGTGTCATTGGGTGGCTCTATTCTTTCTTCAGTACCGACGAATTTTTTCTGTTAGACTAGCTGTAATTTGTTTTTCTGTAGAGAGCGAACGTCTGGTCTATCAAAGACTGGAAAATGGCGGACACTCCGCTCCATATATACTGCTAGGGGGGAGGGGAACGGAGTTTTTCCCGCCAAACCGTTAGCTATCAATCTTCCAGCCAAAGGCACTGTGCAGGTGCAGAATCCATATGTGTGACTGCACAGATGGCCACGCGAAGAACATCAGTTACAGGTAAGCAACCTGCTTCTCTGCCTGTGTGGAGAGGCAGGAGCTGCAGGTAAATTCCAGCCCACCCCTGGCTCTTTGGTCAACTGAAAGATAACCACCTGTCTTTTTCCACTCTCCAGGTCAAAAGGTAGTGAATTGATTCCAACTGGCAGATTGCTCCAGAGCAACCCAATATTCATAGAGAAACAGCAAAAAGATAATTTAAAGGCATTTGTGTGGACCTGCATTTTACTATCCCCAGTGCTGTGTGAAAAAGAAAATTTGCATATGCACTTACTCCTTGAAGATGTATAGGTTTTCCTCCAGGGAGAGACATGATAAGAAATTATGAAAAACTGTAATGAGCATGTGCACCAGCTTTTCAGCATTTCTTGTAGTGTGTGAAATGGTCTTAAGAGGTCCTTTACATTGCAGAGCTTTATTGAGGAAATGCATGGGATTATTTTATTGCTCCTTTTCTTGACTATTGCTAGAAACATATTAGAACTGAAAAGCTAATAATAATAGTTTAATAACTAATAAGTAGCCTCAACAATTATGTCTTGTTCTACAGACTCCCCGATTTCCTCTGATACCTGCTGGGGTTACTTTAGGCTTTCCTTAACTGGGGTAATACACTTCCACCTTACCAAGCCTTTAGTTTATGTACATGTAGCAACCATTTTCATCTGAAGTTGATTTAATAACATAGGAAAAAGCATGCTGGATCAGATGAAAGGTCCATCTAGTTGAGCATTCTGTATACATGGTAGCAAACCAGCTGTTCACAGGATCCCTCAAGCAGAATGTCTGCAAGTTTTCCACCAGCCCAAGCTCCTCAGCGACTGGTATATGCAGGCATGTCATCTCTGGTAAAAGCCACAAAGCTAGCAGCCACTCTTCCATGAATCTGTCCAATTTGAATGGCTGAAGTTACATTTTATACTTTTTTTATCCTTCCTTTCTATCGCTTCTTGTTATAGTCTATATACTGTTTTCAGGGAATGTGGTAGAACTGTTGAGTGATCATCGGTATGTAAAAGATGTGCCTAAAAACGAAGCTTGTGTGTTCAGGTTGCAGGCAAAATGAGGAAAAGGCAAGAAACATGATCTCATAAATCCTTTTGAATATGTATGTACACTCAAGAATGATCAACCAAGATTTTCAAGGAGTCAGTAAGTGATGGCATTGCAGATGTCATTGAACTACAACTCCCATCATCCTAAGCATTGGCTGTGTCTAGTTCTAATGGGAGTTGGAGTCCAACAATATTTGGAAGGCCGCAGCTTCCTCAGCTTTACAGTGAGAAACCACATTGGTTTTGGTAGAGCTTTGGGGGCATATTCCTGTAATGTAGATGCACATTCAACTGAAAAGGTGGCTGTTTTCTGTGTCCTGCTTTTCCACAAAAAGCAATAATTGTTTTCAAAAGCCTCATCATGTTGTACCATAAGGCAACTTCAGTAGCCTTTCTGTTTTATATTTAGATAAGATGATGTGAGCTTGCACAGGAGTAATTTATTCCTTAGATTTACAGACCAAGTTTACAGTAAAGCCATAAATTAATCCATAATCTCACTAGCTATTTTGCTTTTTAATAGTAACATGCAGTTTTTTTAATATTATTTTTTGGTTAGCTGACTTCAAGAGAGCTGTGAAAGTGGTTATAGGACAGGAACTCTCAGAAAATGTTTTGGACACCATCTTCAAGATCTTTGATTTAGATGGAGATAACTGCCTCAGCCATGCAGAGTTCCTTGGAGTACTGAAGAACAGGATGCATCGCGGCTTAAGGGTAACAGAAGCTTGTTCCCTTAAATATTCAGTAGAAATATGTAACACTGTTATTGCTTTAATCAATTGGCAACATAGGTTATATAATTCTGGTTTGTGAAAAGATGCAATTTTTGAAGTTATACGTGTAAAATATGGATCAGCTAGCATTTTGTTTTTTACTGCAGATGTATGTCAGGCATCACTGAATATCAAAGTGGTACAGTGAGGCATGAATCATGTACATCCATACCAACACGTATAGATTGTGTTAAAGTATTTGGAAGCTGTATAGATCTGAATGTCATTCACCATAGACCCATGTGTTGCTGCAAGATCTTTCACATAGAATCCAAATTTCAGAATAACCTGTAACATTCAGTTTGCTCTGACACAAGCAGAGATCAAGCTTGATAAAGTGTTTAATGCCCAGAATGTCAGCAGGCCAATAACTAAGATTAGCAACATGCCCAAATATTATGTGTGACATCTGCAGGGGAAGACCAAAATATTATTTTCTGTTTAGTAGAAAGAGCTACTTCCACAGCCAAGAGATGACTGTTCCAGGATACAGAACCTAATTTAGTCTAACAGCCAAATTCTATCTGGAAGAAGCTCACAGGGGCTGCATTCCAGCAGTGGCTGAGGCAAAAGGCAGAAGGAGTATGACCAAAATATCAGTATATTTTACCTGAAAGTTCTTATTACCAGTAACTGAGCCTTAGGAGGGCCATTTTGGAAGTGTGAGGGTGGGGGCACTATACAAAAATTAAGAAACCACCAAATAGTTGGTAGCTGGGGAAGTGGATGGGGCCTTTTGAGGAACACCAGGGGGCCATATTGGACCTCCAGTCCTGCATCCCTCTGTTAGTCCAAAGCATAAAAACAATCCTGAGAATTGAGCCATTCCCAATAATAAAATTATCATGGCTCAGTAGTAAAGACGATCCCACTTCATCTCCCAGCATCAGTTAGTTCTTTACAAAAGGCAGGATTGGGATCTTGCTTGCCACAGACAGTGTATTTGAAGACTAGATTAAAACTTACTGGAGATGACAAAATAATGAAGCCTGGAGTTAAGTGGTTTTCAGTCATTTGTTACATTAACACTTGGATCAGTCTTTTCATGATACAGTATCTTACACTGTAAAGGAAATTAACAGTTGCCTTCAGGATTTCCTCCTCATAAATCACAATGGCTTCCCTCCTACAAAACGGTGAATGGGGGAGAGAAAGGAAGGGAAGACAAAACTAAGCAAATTCAGGTACCAGTTCTTCTTACAAACTTACTCAGTGGAAAGGCCATTGCAGAAACAATTCTAGGAGAAAAGAGCCAGCTAGCTGAGCTGAGGGGGATACTTACTGTCTTCCTTCATGTAATATAATCAGCTGTTAAAATATACCTTAAATATGGAGTGATAACAACTGTTTGTTTGTTTTTTCCCACTAATAGGTGCCTCAACAGCAAGGAGTGGAAGGTTACTGGAAATGTGTGAAGAGAGAAACCATTAAAGGAGCAAAAGAAGTCTGGAAACAAACTGGGAAAAGTCCTTTTTAAACCTGTTCAGAAGAACGTTTTACAATTATTGCAAACTATATATTGCAATATATACTTGTCTACTTTTGTTTACGTGCTGGCTACATTAGATACAGTAGAATCACTTTGTACAGTTAACTATCAGATGCATTTCTCTTCTTGTAATTTTACAGGATCTATCAGTATAATCAGTTTAGCTGAGGGACTATTATCATCTCTAGCTTCTGATTTTGTGTTCTAGTTTCAGGCTTGAAATTCTCAGAAAAAGATATTAGTTTCAGTACTTTCCATAAAGAAGGCAGGTCCCATTAACAGACCCTGAATGCCTACCTTTTTTCAAGGACTAAAGCAGCCATCCTCAACCTGGTGTCTTCCAGATGTGTTGGACTAAATTTCCCAGCATCTGCCAGCTAGCTGGGAGTTGTAGTCCAACATCTAGAGAGCAGAAAGTTGGGGAAGAGCTAAAGACACAAAAAAGAATGAAGGTTACAGTTTCATAATGAATTTTGTCAAGTCAGAATCATTTTAGAACTATAGAGTTCAAATCACTGATCAGTAGTTCCTATTATTTCACTAGAACTGAAGTAATTTCAGGATTGTATCTTTAAATTATTCAGTACACATTGTGAATAAAAACTTAGTGCTCAAAAGCTACCTAGGACACAATACATTATGGGTGGTATTAGAAATGTATCTTGCCTGGGAAAGCATTATATTATTTGTATATTCCTATAATTTCTAAAAATGCTTCCCTGTCCTGTTAGCAGTAAAGTTTGCATCTTTCACTCCAAACTGGAACTACAAAAATTGTTTACAAGAATTAGAATATTGTACATTGTGTGAATATGTATAAAGCAGAAATTCAGCAATTACGAAATTAAGGGGAGTCCCATTTGGTGGATTTGAATGAAATGGCTTCTGAGATTGCTTTCTTCCATAGCCACTAAGTAAATTTCAAATATTTCTTGCTAGTTGTTTTACTTTTACACACCTAGGGATCTAATTTAAGACAAGTCATTGAACGAAAAGATCTAAAAATAGCATAAATTGAAGTGCTAGGGATGAATTGTTACTTAAATACTAATAACAGACTGTAGAGCGTAAACCCATAATGTAGAGATCAACAGTTAAAATCTTCAGTGTCCAATTAAATCGACTGTAATGTACTGAGTCCAAAGAAAGGAAGTGGCTGTGGCAGGGGTACTCTTGACCAGTGACACTGGAAGATAGAGGATCCTTTCCCCTCCTTTCCTACAGCATTCTCAAGGTGGCCTTCATGTGACATGATTTGCTACCAAGTCCCCAAGTCATGAAATAAGCATATTGATATGACATGATGACTTATTTTACTAAAGAAGGCCACTTTGGAATGAAATACTTTGGAAAAGGGACTTGATTATGGTTGTTTCCCCAGCCTCCTATTTCCTTTCCTAATCATCTTATAGATGGGGCTGGGCCAGTTCAGAGCCAGATCCCCTCCCTCCAGAATACACCAGGGTACATACCCCTGCAGCCTTATCATACACTTTGCTTTAAAAAAAACCCAAAAACTGTACTTTTTGCTACCACTATTACAAATTCAGCAGCCTGGGGTGGGCACAAAAGACTGAGGGGAAGCATGTTGCCCACTCCTATGGTAGCGGATCCTTCTCACCAAAGTGCAACTCAATATATAGCTTGCAAACTTCTCACCGGAGAGTCGGAACTCCTGCATAGCCAGGTTGTGGCATCACATCCAGGATCCCCAGGGCTGTCCACTGGTTATGATCACACTTTACTTTGTCATTTCTGTGTGTGTCAAGGTACCTTAAAATCTGTCTTTTTTAGTATTGCATAGCTCTTGAAATACTGTGCAATCTCACCAGCAAAAGTTAGCCTAATAAAAGGCATTGGTGATACTGTCCTGTGAGAATAATTATTTGCATAGCACTTTTCAGCAATCAATATGTTTTATACTTCCTGATGTGAGGAGAGGGATCTGATTATACTGATGTACCACAACACCAGTTTTGGTTTAAGCACCACTTGTAATCACTTTAAGCCTAATATATTGGTCATACAATGTGGCCAACCTCTGTCTTTGGATTAGAAATACCTTATTTTTCTTTTGTTCATTCTGCTATATTTATTACCTTGAGGGCAGTTCTGAGCTCCTGCAATGCCTTAGTCCCCTTCAAATTTTGCACAGAGCTTTATTATAGGAAGCTGGAAAGAGAATATATTCCACATTTAAATGCAGTGATGGTAGTTGAATCTTAGGGTGATTATTTATGAACTATAAAAGCCTTGACAGAAGCCATTTTTTAGAAGTGCCTGGAAGGAAGAAGGGGATGACTAAGCTGTTGGTTTAGATGCAGCTAAAAACATTAAATGCTTTGATTCTCCATGTAATAACCATCTCAGAACTCCTAAAAGAATGGTCTGGGATGTCAAAACTACCTTCGTGCTTAGAATGTGTCTAAGTGAATGCAGCTTGGGATGAGAACTGAAAATAGCACAGGACAAATGTAATAATTTGTCTGAATTGCTATGGAAAAAAGTCCCCCATCTAGGATTGGATGGGCATGTGTCTTACTTTACAAAGGATAGTCCTTGTTTGAAAGCAAGCTCTGCTTAAATTGCTGCCCAATTCAAGTCCAGTTCTAACCTGAAGAACTGCAAGAAGGAAGAGCATATTGATGTCCATCGACAAACGGCACAGGAGATTGAGCAGATATGCAGGTCTCTAGTTAGAGTCTTCTCCACTCCGGTGAGATGTGTTATATTTCTATTGCAGACATTATATCTAAATGTAAATATATGTAAATTTACATATATGTGCATTTTATGCAAATGTGTCATTTTTCGTTACAAGTGGTCACTGCATCTGGAACGGAATGCAATTCCTCCATCCCCTCAGGTCTGGGAGTGGGCGGTCAGTTTTCCTGTAAGGTTTCTCATTGCAGCTGTGACCATTTTAGATATTTGGAATGTGGCAAGGATATGCTGTAAATGCTCATTTCATGCAAAACTGGTGACAGTGGGGTGTTGGGGTGGTTGAGGTGGTTGAAATGCCTCCCTCACCCCTAAAACAGCCCATAGGTTCTGGGTGGCTTGTCAACCACTCCAACAATCCACTCTTGATGAGTTCACACCTGATAAGCTATGCCCCACCCCCACTACATCTCACATATTAAAAATAGGAGCACCCTCCCCTTCACGCATGGTGGCTTCTCATTACACGCAAAGCAGATTGTTCCCTTAAGAGCACGCAAAGTTAGAGTATTGGTTACTACCAGGTGTACATTAGCTAGTGGTTTTGACAGATCCTGGGAAGGAAGCAAAGGACTTTGAAGAGAGTCTGCTCCAATGATAATATGGTCAGTGTGCTAATATTAAGGCTGTGCTGTGGTTTAAATGCCATTTTGAGAAGGCTTTCTATAACAGTTTTAATTAGAAAGCTAGGTTGTAAATGTAAGGAAACAGAAGTTCTTGCCTGCTGCTAATGCAGTGTCTCAGCAGTTATGAGTGTGAAGGCTGCAGGCAGCAGCCATATTTAACATAAATTCTGTCATTAATTTGTACTTATAAACATACTGTTTGACATATGGCCTTTTTCAACATGTTGGAAAAAAGCCTTGGTTCAAAAGGAAATACTGCCAGTTTCCACAAGGTGGAGCTCTAGGTTTTCCTATTCATTTCCCTCTAGTGTATTCGGAGACTAATTTGACCATGTCTAAAATGGGAAAGAGAATATACATGCTGAATATGCTGGATGACTTTCAAAATCATGTCCATGGGTTCAAGCCAGAAAAAGCCAGACTTGGATCAATGGCACTTATTTTAGAACACGGATAAACATTTATGTATCATTCATTTCAATGGGACTTAGGCTGCGAACCTGTATCCCCATACCTGGGAGTAAATCCTAGCAATTCTGTGGGATTGTCGTCCAAGTAAGCCTATCTAGGATTCTACTGCTAGCTGTAGGTTTCAGACAACTTTCTTTAGACAGTGCCTCCTATCATTTGCTGAATGATGTCTGGTGGGAAAACGGGGATGTGCACCGGTAGCAGTGGTGCAGTGATACATTTTGAGGGCAGGTGCTGTGACATTCCCCATAGCCACATCCCCAAGGAGAGTGCAAAAATGGCAGCATCTGTGTTGTTGTGTATCAACAAATCATTTTTAGAGGTTTCATCTCCACCAGGGATGAGTCTAGTAAAGTTAATTGGTCTTAATTGCCCATTCAAGACCAAGTCACCCTAAAATACTCTGCATTACAATAGAAAACATTGTATTATGGCTGAGAAAATTTGTTTTCTTCCAGTCACTGCAGGGATTGCAACTAAACTCAGATGTAACAGAGGTTAGGTAGCGAGGGAGATGAGATCAGCATAATACAAAAAATGCCAGAACTGCATCTCTCTGAGCTGTAACTCCAAATACCCCTGGACCAAAAACATAACCATACATCAAATTTCAAGTAAAAGTGCCTGATTTTGTAGGGTTGTGTACAGAGGAGAGAGCATGCTTGCTACTGCTTGTTGTCATATGATTGTTTTAATTATGACAGGATAAATGTTTTGAGGACTTCAAAATAAATGTAATGAAATGAGCATGCAAAAAGCACAGGAGAGAACCAAGAGTAAATTTGAGAGGACCCGGAGGAAAGTGCTCACCAAGCCTGCCTCAACATTACCTAGTCCCACCCACCCACCCACCTCGCACATGCACACACATACAAGCAGGTAAGCTTGGCAGGAGGTAGAGGCATGCACAGTGAGGACAAATGGGGGTGGCTATAGATGTGTAGCAGTAGGGACTGGCAACAGCACCCAGCCTGGAACTGAGAAATGCTAGGTGGAAGGGCTGCAGCTGTTGCCATATTCGTTTTCCCAGGATGCATCTGGGCCCGTGTACTGTACATTTGAGACTGGGGCCAGGAACATGTTATGTTAGGCTTCTTGGTCTGGTGCTTCTCTTCATCATGTCAGACCTTTTCAAACACTTTATTTTTTAATATATTTTTGAGGATGTAATGAATTTAGTGACACCTCTCTTAAAGCCACATAATCTAGGTCCCATCACACCTTGGAGGAGTGAATTATTTATGACTGAGAAAAGGGTATGTTTTTTCTTTGAACTGAATCTATCAGCAATGTATCATGCCTTCTACCTGAAAGACAAATTTAAGACAGATGAGGGAGAGCATTACAACTCTGGTGCAAGTTTTGGAAATTCCTCCAAACTGGCCATAGTTATAGACATTTAAATAGCCAAGGTTGATGTATGTACACAATAATGCAATAAATGCAATACTGGTTGTGATCAATTGAACTGGTATTCTTTGGTCATGTAAATGAGATGCAAGTGCCAGATTATGAGCAAACCCTAAGGAATTCACTTAAATCCAAAGTGTTTCTGTCTTTTTTTCATATAATTGTGTGTTATACAGATTATTAACCTCCCTGAAGTCTTATGCAGGTTACAAATCAAAATAAATAATATAGGTTGGGACCTAGAAAGAACCAAATACTGCTCATGCAGTTTGAGCTTGGGTGCTCAAGAATTGCACAAATTATGGTCTTACTCAGTTGCTGGAAACACATTCCTGCCTGCAGAAGAAATTCAAGTGATCTGCTTCCTGCACAAGTAAATAAGCACTCAGAATACAGGAGAAGATTTATGGATCACGGCCAAATACAAGTACATTTCACTGGATACGCTTACATTGATTCAAGGGAATAGCAACTGATTTAGTTTGATGACTAGGCACACAAAGTCAATGAAGTGAAGTGGATGAAGTGTGTCACTTGGGACAAGAATCCCTAATCATCCACAAAATCACTTGGGCAATTCTTGACTATGGTGGCAAGATGAGAGCTGTAAAGGACATTGAAAACTTAAAAGCACCACAACATTTGTGTAATTGTTTTATCAAAGTAAGACCTTTGTACTATCTTTTTAAAAAAAATATTTTATGCATATATTTTACAAAGGAGAAAAATATTTAAAAGCTATCCAAAATATCAAAGTTGTGAGATTTTTATATTTTGTATGTATCTGACATTTAGGATGCAATCATACCAACTGCCCCATCAGTGCTCATAAGCCCCCATAAATGAAGGTTTATGAGCATCCTGTGCAGTAAGAAAGAGTAGTGCAGGAACACTTTACCTCCCCACAGCACCTATTCTGCATTTCAGCCGGACAGGCCATTTTCAGCCAACAAGGTAAGGAAGGTTAGGAGAGTGACGCACCAAGAGGATAGTGGCAGTTCCTGGCTCTTTGCCTATCCACTTCCCTGCCCCCTTTACCTTCTTTCTTGGGAGTGCTTTTTCAGAGAGGGAGCCAGCATATATACTTTCCACACCAGCTGTGAGGGGAGGGTGGAGTGTGTGGTCTCTGACCTTGGACCTAAGAATTTGAAGTATCCTGTGGTACGCCAGACAATGTCTAGCAAACCTTCCCATAGCCATCATATAAAAAGATACTGACTCCATTTGCATGTATCAGCTAACTATGGGTTATTTAAACCCTAGTTAGTTATGGCCATAAGGAAGCAAGTAAGTAAATTTGATTGTGAGCTGCCCCGAGGCTTCGGCGAATGGGGCGGCATAGAAGTCCTCTAAATAAATAAATTTGTCTCCAATGTGTCACTTCCACTTTTTATTCCCTCAACAACCCAGGAATGCCTGCATTAGGTCATTTCCGGATTAATTACACCAGTTACCCCAGTTGTTACATTAACTATGGGTTGTTTAACCCCTAAACATGCCAGAATTCCAGTAACAAAAGCAATCCAGTAATAGGGTGTTCCTGGGAAGTTGATTAAAGCAGAAGAGACAAGTGATTCAGGGGCAGTGCACATACTTGCTGCTGCTACAGTTTATCAGTATCAGCCATTTTTGGATTAAACATCCCAGCATTCATGGTTGTGTGTGAACCAGGTCACAATGTAGCACAGGGATGGGAGAGGTCCATAAAGCCTCTCAGGAAGAGGACAAAAGAACAGAAGGTAGATTGGAATCTACTGGAGCTTGATGCTGTTGCAGCAGTACACCACAATCTATTGAACCAACCAGTCTCAGAGGACTATCTCAGGTAAGTGAAAACTGGAATAAATCACAGCTAGCATTATATCCCAGTCAAGTGCACCACATGGACCCTCCCTATCCCCACAGTGACTGAGAGGTTGTGGAGACACAGGAGTTGCCCCCAACATCAAACTGGCATGGCAGTATTTGTACCATTTCATGCCTCGTGCAAAAATTATTGCATGCCTCCTACAAAGGAACCTTGAAAGACTGCTATTTGACTTACATCCTGACTTCCTTTTTAAAGGCCTCAAAGTGTCTCCTCCTCCTCCTCCTCCTCCTCCTCCTCCTGTTCTCAATCTTATCCCCCACAAAAACAACCTGTGAGGTAGGTTGAGCAGAGTCTGTGACTGGCCCAAACTCCATGGCCTAGTGGGGACTAGAACCCATGTTGAGTCCCAGTCCCACACTTCTTAACCATTACACCACAATGCCTCTCTAATTGCTACATGATTTATCCATTATCAATCTATATATGTCTATAATGTAACAGATAGTGTTTAATAAATTAATTATTCAATACATCATTAGACAATCACTACAGGCACTGGACTTTTATGTTGAGGGAAACTTATCTAGCCTCTTGACTATATCCTCTAAAACAGGGGAGGGCAATTAATTTTCCTATGGGGCCACATGAGAAACTTTGACAGTTGTTAAGGGCCGGACTAATACACTTACAGCTCTGCTCAATATATATCTCTATAAAAACAGTAAATGAAACATTACAATGATACAATGAAAATGTGGCGCACAGAACAACACTATTTAATGAATATTCACAAAAACATTAACATTACACGAAAAGCAATTCAATTCAATTCAGCAGATCCTTCAAAATAAAAGCAGTGCAGTTGTATTGCTTGCATCTATGTTACCAAGATATATATTTGCATTGACTTTTAATTTGCCAGTGACCTCATGCAGGCCAGTCAGGGTCAGCCATCGGCTGCATGTGGCCCGCGGGCCATACAATGCCCAGGTCTGCTCTAAAAGCAGGGCATATATTTTATAAATTCTGCTAGTAATAGAGAACAGTACTGCAATCCTATGTATGTCTCCTCAGAAATAAACCCACAGAGTTCCACAGGACTTATTCCCAAGTAAGTTACCACAGACGTGTCGCAGCCTAATTTGGAACTGCATACCAAGAAACGTATTTCAGTCTCACATATGCTAGAAGTAAAAGAACTTGCACATCAAAAGCCTGCTCATGATAACGGGGCTTGCAGCCGTTCCCACGAGCCCCTGGTACATTCCCTCCCAAAAACACCCCACTGCAAGGCAGGCCACGGGTGGCTTTGGCCACGCTTCCGACCACGCCGATGCCGACACATGCCGCGCGACGGACCGCAGGACGGCGGGAGGGCTCGCTTCTAAATCCCTTCACGTGCAAGGCAAGGGCATGCCTGCCTCGCCGTGACCTTGTGTACGTGTGCAGGGTAGGAAAGCGGAGGTCTGGCGGCAGGCGACACGGGATTTGCGTGCGGATGGAGGAAAGGCGGCGGAGGGCCTCTCCCGAAGCGGGAGAGGGAGGAAAGCAGCGGGTAGGGCAGGAAGCAGCGCCGAGCGTGGAAGAGGGCAGCTCCCCGCCGCCGCCTCAGGAGCTCTGCGTCTCAGGTCTCCCCGCGCTCTGAGGAAGCGTCTTTTGCACCCGCCTCAGCCGCTGCGCCCTTCTAAGGCTCGCAGCTTTTCTTTTTCCGTCCTTCCGAGTCGTTGCGCAGGAGGCAGGCCGGCCCAGCCCTGCCCGGCCCGGCCCCCTTAGCGTGCGAGCGAGCGCGAGCGGGAGCGGGGGCAGAAGCGAGCAGGCGGGCGGGCGGAAAACGCTTCGCCGCATCGGCGAGCTGAGAGGTGGTGCTGGCGGCGGCGGCGGCACAGATGGCTCCTGCAGGCGGCGGCGGCGGCGGCGGCGGCTCGGCGGCGAGGAAGATGGCGCCGTCGCACGTCCTGAAGTGCTGCCAGAAGGTGCTGGCGTGGGTGCCCGTGGCCTTCATTGCCTTGGTCGTTGCCTGGTCCTATTACGCCTACGTAGTGGAGCTGTGTGTGTGTGAGTAATCCGGGCGGGCGCGGCGCGAGCTGACTGGCGGCCGCCGAGAAAAGCCGTTCCCGGGATGCCCCTTCGGCGCTGCCGACACCGTCGTAGGGGGACAAGGGTCCGAAGACCATATTACCCTAAAGTTGTAACTGCCGTGGGATGGGAATAGGACCCCCCCCCCCGTTCCGCAAATTAGCTCTGGCTGCCTCCTCTCGCTCTCTTCCCTATGACGAACAGCCTAGTGATTATTGCATCCCCCCAAAAAATGGGGCAGACCTGTCTTTTTTCTCTTCCGTCTTCGTATCGGGTGCCCCATGGTTGGGATCACACCTGGATAGCTGGCATTTATTAGTCCAGAAGGACCGATAAACTTCTCTTTCTCTGTAAGCGCGCTCAACAGTTTGTACCCTTAATCGTAAATGTGCATTAGAGTTTCCACACTTAACTGCATGAATTAAATAGGAAGTAGCATTGGAAATCCTGCAGCCCTCTTCCTGAGCGATTATTCATAGGCGAGTAACACAATCGCACAATCCTATACAGATTTACTCAGAAGTAAGCCCTGGCTTACTCCTGGATAAATGTTCACAGAACCCCGTCAATCCTCATTAGTATCATATTTAACCTTAAGTTTTGTTCTGCTGGCAGATGGTGCTGATGCCTGTCTGTAACTAAAAGCTAGTGTAACAGAATATTGCATTGAGCAACAATTCTTGGGCTATCTCTTTTTCTTGTAAGGTTTTTCTCCTTTTTGATTTCTTGAATCCTTTGAGCAGCTTTGAGGCTTCCATTTACAGAATGAGTATGTGGTGCCTTAGCTGATGTAAAGTGCTCTTGCAAGCCCTTTTCACTGAGTAGTATTTGAATCGAAGACTGCCAGCAGGAGCATAGTGCTTTAGCACTACTTCATTGTGCATTGCTTGTCATTGTGACCCGAATGAACAAGGTTCCTAAGTCTGGTAGTTTAGAAAGGAACTGATAATTGATTGTAAGTATCAGAAGTACTCCAAAAGCAAATTGGAATTGCAGAAGCTGTATTGGCGGAATAAAAGGTTTTAAGAGGCACATTTCATTTCTGTAGAAATATAGTAGCATCCTAAAACTCTTAATGACATTGTTAAAGGTAAATGATCTTGCCTACTCAAGATCATTTACTGAAAGTTACAGTGTTATCGTAAGCATATCAATTAGACATACCCCAGGTAACTCAGTGTAGGATTGCAGCCTTAATCACTCACATTAAAATCATTTGTCCACAGAAGAATCCACAAAAAGGTGAACTTTTGAAAACTCTGTTAATGCATATATGTATAGGTTGAATTAGAAAAACATTTTAGTAATTTTTAGTGTGATATTAGGCACTGTTGACATTCACACTAAATCTAAGAAAAAGAAGTTGGATTGTTTTGGGGTGTATTCTTTCCAAAATGAGCTTCCTGCCTTGATTACTCTTCTTTAGAAAGTTGTGAGTTAATTTGCTCATCATCCTTGAGGGCAGCCCAGCATCATTTGACTGTTCATTCACTGGAATATTTACACTGACATGCTATTTATTTTCTCTAATATAATATTCTTAGTAGAACATAAAATGTGGCTCTAGCTTATTTCCCAAAATAGAACTTATGAACAATTCTTCGCATTGTTATTTTTAAAATGTAATGCATCGGAACTGAAAATAGACTTGCAGTGTAATCTCTAATCATATTTAGTTGAAAGTAACTGAAACTGGGTTTAATGGAACTTTTTTCCGAGGAATCATAGTTAGGCTTGCAGCCTGACGCTATGGATATTGACATGGAACCATTGAACTATCTTCAAGGAATAAAAGAGTGGGAACAGTTAATGTGGGTGCCGAAAGACCCTTCAGGTCCTTTGCAAGCTAGTTGTGGCTGAATCACCAGACTTAGTGTTACCTGAAAATTATTCATCCATATTATTTATCTCTTCATTATGCTTCTCGGCAAAAATGCTATTTTTCAGTGGATTGAGACATTGTAGAGAGAAAGACAATAGACAGAAAATATGAACTTGAAGGTACTTATAGCACAGGATTAATGTGACCATGGTATCAGAATTATCAGTGACCTTGTCTAAGGCAATTGGGTTTGTAGCCCTCTAATTTTTCCTTTGCTCTTTATCAGTCAGAATTGATGGCAGGCAGAGTTAAGTACTATATAACTCATCAATGCATATTATATATAATAGCTTGAGAGGCCTGAGTACCTTAGCTATATTGTGGCTGCTAGTGTACTGGTGCAAGGACATCTGTGTGGCTAGATCACCAGCACCAGGCATCATGACTAGTAATAATGCTGGATGTTGTAGTCTTAATACGTCTGGAGGGCACCAAGCTGGGGAAGTCTAGGCTAGACCAAACCCCTGGCCTGCCATCAGAGGCTCAGGATTCTTTCTCTGTTCATGCAGGTTTTAATAAAAATTGATAGTTGTATTATATCAGCTTTTTATTTCCCACTAGCATCCAGTTGGGATGTTTAACCAAGTTAAAGTTCTGCATTATTTTCATATTTTCTATGACTTGTGCATGAAGTTTTAATAAAGATGTTATTGAGAAAAAAATTGACTTTAATAGCAAGGAATTTTTTTCCTTGTTTTGTTTTGAGTTCTGTGCTCCCTCCTGATCTCTAGCATTGCATGTAATATGCACCGTGAGATTTTTTTCTCTGTTTATCATAAAGGACTTGACATTTTGAATTTATTGGGTTTGCATGACACACTAAGCCACTGTTGTTTTGCAGCCATGACATAGCATGTTGTCCAGACTTGGATGGTTTCATCAGGGTAGCTTAAGATTGGTTTTTGAGCCACCCTGACAAATCATGATTTGTTATAGTGTTTGTTTGTTTCATGGAGTCTTACCATGTCAGCTGAACTTTGTCGCCACACTCTGCCAGGGACCAACGTCAGAACAAGTTAGCTGCTTGGCAAAAGCTGTCCACAAAGTGCCCAAGTGGGGAAGTGTCACACCACAGCCTCTTTAAGTCCTAAATGGGGTTTGAGGAGGTGGTACGCAGTGATGCTCCAGAGAGTCATCCTGGCTAATAGGCAGTATAGAAATTTAACAAATAATGTATTTGTGAGCCAGAGCAGAGAAGAGAAAGGGCACATTCTGAGGCCCAGCAGAAAGCAGCTTGTCCCACCAGGCAGGGACAGGGCACGGTCAGTGATGGGATGAGCCACATTCTCCTGCAGTGTGTTCCCCCAGCTTGGCATAGACTGTTCAGGGCTTAAGGAAAAAGTGCACAGCTGGAGGAACCCCCCCCCCCATTCTGGCTGATGATGACTTCCAGAAGGTGGCCCCACTTCTGCTTATCATAACTGAGTTTGCATGGCAATGACAAGCAGGGTCAGACAGCAATGACGTGCATTCTTCTGGACCTCTTATAAAGAAGGCCTAGCAGAACACATATTTTCATCTTCTGCTTAGCCAAGGACAGGAAAGCAAGAGGCCCAGCAGAACATAGCTCATATGCTGGCATAGTGGGGTTGTTCATAAGCCAGTGTCCCCTGGGATGTCTGCAAGAGGATTGGACGGAAGGAACAGGGAGGCATTCTGCCCTGATAGCCTGTTCATCACTTGGGCACATCAGGGGTGGTATGGCTTATTGTTACTGTATTTATATTCTGCCTTTCACCTACTTCTTCAAGCAACCCAAGGCAGCTTACACGGTCATCTTCTCCATTTTATCCTCACAACAACCATGATGGTGGGTTTGGCTGAAAGGCAGTGAATGGGCCAAAATCATCCAGTGAATTCGTGGCCAAGTGTGGACTAGAATCTGGATCTCCCAAGTCCCTGTCCAGCATTCCAACCGCTGCACTGAACTGGGTCTCTACACAATAGCCCTCCTATTGCTCCTATGATTACCCGATAAAATATTGATTCAACAGAGCAAAGCCTGTGCACAGTTGGTATAATATCCCTGTGTAACTTCTTTTGAAGCAGCTGCTTGATTATGACTGAAAGCTACAGATAACTGGCTCAATGTGTATGTGTGGTTTCCTCTTCAGAAAAGCATCCCTGCCTAGTGACAAGAGTAAGATACCAGAGATGGGTTGCTGGTATCCTCAGTTTGAGATCATGACACCTTAACAGAGCCTAACAGAGAATGGTGTTAAACTTGTGTGACAGGCAGACTCACTAGTCCAGAGGCTGTGAATTAGTTGTTTATACTTGTTAAAATTCTATTATTTCTGTATCAAACATGTGGAGGTAAATAGCTTTATGGGGAGAACACTGTTAGAAGGTTAGTAAAACAAAGGAAGATTGGCTAACAGCAGTAGCATATTCCCCAGGAACTTGAAAATATGTGTTATTGTCAGTGTCCAGCAGAATAGGAAACATCTGGGGGTTATATTAGACAAATACTCAGCCTCGTATCCCTGTTAGTGCCAGATTCATTTCCCATTCCTAATTTAAAAATAAACTAGTGCCATCAAAGCAAATTTGGTGAACTTAAATGGATCATGCATGGAAATTGGAGGATTTGTTGTGCAATATAGAGCTTATTTCTTAAAATATTCCAGATATGTTCAATATTTTTGCTGCATAAATTGCATGCAAAGTAAAAAAAGATAATAGTTGAGTGATTCACCTTGTCTCAACACAGCATAATGATTATTCCAAAGTAGTTTGTAAACCAACTGAACCTGGCAGTGAAGTATTCAGTTCATCACATGAACAAGCTTCATTTAAGTAGAAATTGCAAGACAAAATAAATGTGGGATAGGCAAAAGAAACATAGTTCCCAGTTTGACTGGTATTCTTGAGAAAAAAGTACATGTACGAAATTGTTACTTTGCTGTAACTGAAGGTTTTAACAGGTTGCCCTTAGACATTCCTAGAAAAAAAAGCTTTCCAGCCTTTTGGATACCCAAAATAAACTTTTAAGTCTGTCAGAAATTATTAAATATTAAATCTTTTTGTATGGAATCCATATGATTCATGGTAGGTAAAACAATGCCAAGATTTTCGGAAGAGTGCCATTGGCTTG